GTGACTGCCTTCTTTCTTGGAACCTTCTCGGGTTTGGGGATCTCTGTCTCTGGGGAGAGTGGCATTTGATTGCAAGGCTGAGGTGCAGAATCTTTGCTTTGCTTTATCCTTCCCCTTCTCTCCAGAGTGTTCAGGATCATCACTGCAGTCTGGAGCTCCCTCCCGAGGGACAGCTCCCATCTCTGCTCTCTGTGACCAGGGACAGGACCCAGGGAGCAGCTGGAGCTGTTTTCAGAGGGCTTTAGGATGGTTTTTAGGAAAAGGTGCTTTCCCTTTGGGTGCTGAGCTGGCACTGTCCCAAAGCTGCCAGAGCTGCAGGAGCGTTGGGACAGCGCTTCGGGCACAGGCTGGGATTGTTGGGGTGTCTGTGCAAGGCTGGAKGGCCCTCTGGGTCTCTCCCAGTTGAGGATATTCTGATTCTCTGTTCAAATGCAGGATTTTAGTGTAATTTTATAGGGGAGAACACACACAAACCAGTTGGCAGGCCTTAAGCAAAAAAAAAACCCAARCAACTACAAAACCCAGCTGTTCCCGAGTATAAAACCACCATCCTGTGACCCCATCTCTCCTAAACTGTCGTGCTGTTGTTCTCCACAGATGATAAATCCCCAAGGTGGGAAGTCACTCTTTATTCCTTTCAAATCCAGACCTTTCCAGATCTCTGCTGTTTATGCCATGAAATGCTCAAGGACTCCACACTGTAGCTCACATCAATCTGAAGCCAGTGGGTTTTTCTACCAGTGTAGTTAATCAGGAACTGGTTATTTCCCAGTCCTCTGCCTGCAAATGCATTCCATGGGCAAGCARTTCCTTTTGGACAGCTGAGCAGTGAGTAATAGCATGGGGGTTCTTGTGTCAGAATAATGATGAGGGGAAAATGGATGAGAGGTTCAGAGAAAGCAGGAAAATGTTGTTTTGAGCACAGTGGTCCAAATCCTGGAATGTGCTGCTGTTGTCCTGAGCTCACTGTGGCTTTAGGAACGTTGGGAGGCTCAAGGAAATGCTGAGCARCCTTTGGATTTTGGGGCTTGCTGAGCAATTGTTATTTGGAAGTTTGGTTTTATAGAAATTACCCGTTTCCACATTATTTATTCTGCTGATTGGCTTCTCTGGATTGCTTTTGCTCTGGACAAATAAGGACAAATGTGGGAAGAGGCAAACTTGCCAAATTTAAACAGTCAGAGTTGCACAGACCAAAGCTAATATTGGCTGTGGCGGGRTGGTGCTGCTGTGTGATGGATCCCCACGCCAGGGTGGGCACAGGAGGGGTTTTGTGTTTGTGCTGGCAGGAGCAGAGAGAGGGGCTGAGCCCCCAGGGTGCTGCTAACACAAGGGGACAAAACCCCTTTGTGCCCATTGAGAGGGGCTGAGCCCCCAGAGTGCTGCAAACACGAGGGGACAAAACCCCTTTGAGCCCATGGCACGGTGGGGTTTGGGCTGGTGGTGCCGTGGGTCAGGCTGGCCCCAAATCCAGCACTGGGATGCCTCCAGAATAATGAGCTCCTGAGAGCCCCTGGCTTCAGGCTGGAGGAGCATCTCCTGGATTACAGAATCACTGAAGCTTTTATGCTGGAAAAGCTCTTGTCATGGTTTTACTTAGTCCAGTTTTTGGTGGTGCGGGGATGGGACTAAGAGCATGATGTCCAAGTCATGACCTCCTGAACCAGCCCAGGGCACCGGGAGCCACATCCACTCATTCCCTGAGCACTCTGGAATTGCTGTACCACAGCTTCTCACTGTCCCTTGACCCTTCTTCACCCACTGCTCCTTCTCCACATGAGCTGTGCCTTCCCTCAGCCCTGCCTGGAAGAGGGAAGGTTTGAGGTGAACCTGATAATGTCATTTATTGCTCTCTGCTCCAGCAGCAGCAGTGCCCGTGCATTTATGGAATGCTTTGGCTGCCAGCTCTGACCGATGGTTGTTCCCTCTGGTGCATCTCGTGTGATGGAGCATCCCCAACTTTTCCTGACATCCTGCTCAGTTGTTTTGCTGTTCTTTTTTTTGCAGCTGATTCTGGGCATTGTTTGCTGAGTGGAATTGGAGTTACTGTTTGTTTCTTCATCGGTGCTTTATCATGCTGCCGTTTCTGCACACTTTGTGTAACTTTTTTTTTCTGGTAGCTGAAGACGGATTGCGCTGCKCAGCCTGGGCTGGGTTGGAATGAGGGGTTTGGGGAGGGGAGGTGCTGCCTGCGAGGCCATTGATCCCATCTTTATAACTTTGCCCTTTTAGCTGGGAACAGATGATTTGCGCAGGGCTTGGAGATTTGCGCGGGCAGAATCCGAAGGACCAAACTTTACATAAACCATTTATACTAAACGTTGGGAATGCTGGCGACATAAATCACCTACAGTATCTATTGCAAATTTATCACTTTACCGGGATCATCTGTGATAGGAGTGGTCCAAACAGGTGGGGAAGTGAACCAGACCTCAGGAAGTTTAGCCTGCTCAGAAATTAATTATTCAGAACACACAGAGCCTGGCCCCTTCAATGTATAGTAATTCTTTCCAGCCAGCATCCAGGCCTCCAACTTGGGTGCAATAATAAATAGGAAAAGTCTCAGGTGAAGCCAGTATTTCAGAGTAATTAATCATCTTCCCCTCACGGCCCCTCCACCTCTCTCTTGGTTTTCTTTAACGAGGGAATTTCAGTAATAAATCTTTAATGATATATGTTAAGAATCCTTCATTAATTCTTGTCCACTTATTTCTCTTTTTTGGGTGCTTTTATGTTGTACCTTGGGAAGTTCAAAGGAATACACAAGAAAAAAAACCAGTTAAATGTGGCACAGTCTCTAAAAGGATGTTTTGGATGTCGAGGGTCGTGTGTTCACTCGGGAATCGGAATTGCTGTTAATTCCAGCTGGATTGTCAAATGTGGGCTACAGGGATGGAATTAGTGCAGGATTCCAGAAGAGAAGGGGG